AAGTCGCTTGGGGTATGTCTCTATCAGTTTTGCACATCGAGAGACTGAAATTTTTGCCCATTCCTCCTTGCAAAACAGCTCGAGCTCAGTGAGGTTGGATGGAGAGCGTTTGTGAACAGCAGTTTTCAGTTCTTTCCACAGATTCTCGATTGGATTCAGGTCTGGACTTTGACTTGGCCATTCTAACACCTGGATATGTTTATTTGTGAACCATTCCATTGTAGATTTTGCTTTATGTTTTGGATCATTGTCTTGTTGGAAGACAAATCTCCGTCCCAGTCTCAGGTCTTTTGCAGACTCCATCAGGTTTCCTTCCAGAATGGTCCTGTATTTGGCTCCATCCCTCTTCCCATCAATTTTAACCATCTTCCCTGTCCCTGCTGAAGAAAAGCAGGCCCAAACCATGATGCTGCCACCACCATGTTTGACAGTGGGGATGGTGTGTTCAGGGTGATGAGCTGTGTTGCTTTTATGCCAAACATAACGTTTTGCATTGTTGCCAAAAAGTTTGATTTTGGTTTCATCTGACCAGAGCACCTTCTTCCACATGTTTGGTGTGTCTCCCAGGTGGCTTGTGGCAAACTTTAAACGACACTTTTTATGGATATCTTTAAGAAATGGCTTTCTTCTTGCCACTCTTCCATAAAGGCCAGATTTGTGCAGTATACGACTGATTGTTGTCCTATGGACAGAGTCTCCGACCTCAGCTGTAGATCTCTGCAGTTAATCCCGAGTGATCATGGGCCTCTTGGCTGCCTCTCTGATCAGTCTTCTCCTTGTATGAGCTGAAAGTTTAGAGGGACGGTCAGGTCTTGGTAGATTTGCAGTGGTCTGATACTCCTTCCATTTCAATATTATCGCTTGCACAGTGCTCCTTGGGATGTTTAAAGCTTGGGAAATCTTTTTGTATCCAAATCCGGCTTTAAACTTCTCCACAACAGTATCTCGGACCTGCCTGGTGTGTTCCTTGTTCTTCATGATGCTCTCTGCGCTTTAAACGGACCTCTGAGACTATCACAGTGCAGGTGCATTTATATGGAGACTTGATTCCACACAGGTGGATTCTATTTATCATCCTTTGTCATTTAGGTCAACATTGGATCATTCAGAGATCCTCACTGAACTTCTGGAGAGAGTTTGCTGCACTGAAAGTAAAGGGGCTGAATAATTTTGCACGCCCAATTTTTCAGTTTTTTATTTGTTAAAAAAGTTTGAAATATCCAATAAATTTCGTTCCACTTCATGATTGTGTCCCACTTGTTGTTGATTCTTCACAAAAAAATTGCAGTTTTATATCTTTATGTTTGAAGCCTGAAATGTGGCAAAAGGTTGCAAAGTTCAAGGGGGCCGAATACTTTCGCAAGGCACTGTATATCACCAAAATATATTTTTTAGTAAGCAGCAGCTAGCTGCTTTTGATCAGTGGCAGCTGTGCTGTTAATGTTTCCAAGACAAGTCTTTTGTAAAAACCATTAATCTCTGTATCCATACACTCTGCCGCTTTCAGTCTGTCTATCAAAATCTATGTAGTACAGTAACTGCTGTCTGGAGAGGCTGGTAATTTTAATTGAGTTGTGTAGAAACCAGGCCCAGTTGCAATTAATAATGACTTTGGTCATGTTTTTCAGAGTTTGTGTAAGCTTCTAGATCTATAAACCCTGAAGTGCTAGCTTCAGGCAAGATAGGTCAAGGACTCTGCATAGCCAGAAGTTTTTTTTTTACATGCCCTAGGGCTTCAGACTACCAGGGGCCCCAGATGTGGCCTGAGGCTTTCTGAGAACCTTGTAGGTTTTGCTCCATAAACATCAGACCCTCAGGAGTCTCAGAAAACTTCAGGTTGTCAGCCTTCAGATGTGACCTGAGGCTTTCTGAAGGCCTTAGAATGGGGTAAGGCTCTGACCGTTAATAGCCTCAAAAGGTGTTTTTCTGTGGTGCCTGGCAATCCAAGGCACTGGGGCACTGGCCCGACTGGCTCGACCCATCAGCCAACCTTGGCAGAAAATCTGGAATAACCACAGAAACGCTGTGGGTAGCAGAGTGTCATAGACGGGGGTGGTATATTTGAAAGACACCATGTTAACTTCCATTTGCACTTGTTTTATCAGACAATGTTTAAAATTTTAGCTATTGCACCTTCAAATAAAAGTAACAGCTATGATTCATGTTATTAGTATATAGCTTTACATTTTATATTTTTTAAAACAATATTAGTCCAGGATTGTTCTGTTGTGTTGCTGTTGTAATAATGATTATAATTGTGCTGATAAACTGTAGTACTTATGTCTGTGTTGCTTCTGATATATTTTTTTTCTGGGGAATGAAATTAGACAGTTCTCAAAAGTATGAGTGTAGGGGAAAAATACCTTTAAAAGTTTGCTCTTATATTTTTCTATGAGTATTAGTGGAAACTCTCTGCTTTTTAAATAGAAGTTTAATTCCACAACACAGCAACAAACTACATAGCACTTTTCAAAGTAAACTTACCAAGTGATTTATATGGAAAATCAAAATTCAAACAACTGACATACTGCATTCAGCTGTGAGCGGGCTGCAGATGCAGCATCCACAGGCCCTCTTTATCATCTCTGGAGACTTTAACCATGCTTCTCTGTCCTTCAACCCTCCCACTTTCACCCAGTATGTAACCTGCCAGACCAGAGGTAATAAAGTACTGGATGTATTTTATGCCAACACCAAGGAAGCGTTTCACTTATTACTCCCTCCTCCCTTGGCAAGATCAAAAATCAACCTGGTTCATCTTTTGCCTGTGCGCAGAGAGAACCTGTTGTCACCCGCACAGTAAGGAAATGGTCTATGGAGACTGAGGTGTTAGAATCGCTCGGACACGGAAGTGAGCGAGTAATCATAGACGGACCCAGGTAGCTGACTTCGGTGCAAGTAGTGCCAAATTTATTTACAGTCCAGTGAAACAAGAAAACAGGCAGGGGAAGAATGATGGAGAGTAACCAGATATTGATCAGCAGTGGAGAAATCAGTTTGTAGGGAGATGGATGGGAGTAGGCCGGGCTGCGGACGCTGGGGTCACTCCTGAGCTGGTCGACGGGGAAGCGGTGGTGACTGAGAAGAGTAGACAGTAGTTGCTACAGATGAATAGTGATGACTGTGCATCGACCTGAATGGTGAAGACTGGAAGGGCAGAGTAGTTCCAGGTTCCGGAGGAGAAGTCCGTGGAGGAGGAAGAACAGCAACGGTACTGGTAGGAGCTAGGAGAAACACTACGGACTGGGAGATAAAAATGGCAGAACACAACAACGACATAAGGGGCCTGAGATCGAGATTGAACTGGCAGAGGAGTGAAAGGAGAGTGGGGTATAAGTAGGGTAAAAACTAATAAGGAGCAGCTGGTAATAATCAGGGGATGTCAAGCACGTGTGCCAGATAGTGTAATCAGGGCCGAGGGAGTGAAACAGAGTGAGGGAGGTGAGAGAGGCAGGTGAAGCTGGGCAAACCTGACATGAGGAGCCTCTGACAGCCTGTTTCAATACAATTGTGTGGGAGGTACTATGTGATCTGCAGGGAGGGGAGACTGACAGTCTCACACATTGCATAACGGACTATATTAACTTCTGTGTGAAGAATACTGTGCCCACCAGGACTTCTCTCAGTGCTTCTCCAACAACAAACCACAGATCAACCCTGATAGAAAGCCCTCCTAAAGGAGAAAAGGAGGGCCTCTAGATCAGGAGACAAGGAGGACCTGATGGGAGGGGAAGGCCCAGCTACAGGACAAGCATGGAGGGACAGCTGCAGCAGAACAATATCAGCAGAGTCTGGAAAGGCCTCAGAACCATCTCTGGCCACAAGAAGTCTGACTCCCAAGCTGGAGGGGACCAGAAGTGGATGAATGATCTCCATCTGTTTTTCAGTCGATTTGATCATTCTTTTGCCCCTCCTCATACACAGTCATTGCTGCTGCAGCCCATCTCTTCTGCACTCCCAGTGAGATGCCCTTCACCTCCTCTGAACCAGGACTTTGTGGACTGGTGTCTGTGGAACCACCTCCAGATCAATACAGAGAAGACCAAAGAGCTGGTGGTGGAGATGCCACCCTCCAACACCGGTGAACATCCAAGGAATGGACCTTGGGACAGTGGACAATTCTAAGTACCTGGGTGTTCACCTCAACAATATACTGGTCTAGTCAAACAACATTGAAGCACTTTACAAGAAAGGCCAGAGCAGACTCTACCTGTTGAGGAGATTAAAGTCATTTGAAGTGCAGGGGACACTCCCAAGGACCTTCTGCCATCTTCTATAGGGTGGTCTGCTGAGGCAGCAGCATCTCAACCACAGACAGGAAAAGACTAGATAAACTGGTCAAGAGGGCCAGCTCTGTCGTGGGAAGTCCCTTTGACCCAGTGCAAGTGGTGGCTGACAGGAAGTTGTTAGCCAAGCTAACATCTCTGCTTGAGAAGGACTCCCACCTCATTCATGACTCTGACAGCACTGGGCAGCTCTCTCAGTGACAGACTGAGTGTTATTGCAGGTCCTTCCTTCCTGCTGCGGTTATTATTTATTAGTATAGCTACAATGGTTTATATTTATATTGATAATACCTTGTCTGTTACTTTTTAATTCTTAACTGTCTGTTTCTATCCCTTTTTTGCTGTAACGGTGTGAATTTCCTCATTGTAAGACTTATTTTATCTTAAATTAAAGCAGCTGTAAAGAATTGTGACAAAAGATGTAAGACCATGTAAAAATAATTTTCTCAGAGCTCTGTGATGGAAAAAAACAATCATTTTCTAAATGACCTCAAACCCTCAAACATACAGTATATTTGACAAGTGGTTAGTTAATAAATGTAGTAGCAGTATATTTATGACAAGTCTCGCAGCCAACAGATTTTTATCAGTTGATTGGTGGTAATAAAGTCGAACATCAATAACAACCAGCTATTTCCCTCAGCTGAATGTGTGTACAATTCCCGGATTTCCATTCTAGTGGATCAGCTGTTTCAGTTCAGGTTTTACAGATTTGGTTTGAAGTCTTTTTCCTAAAATGGAGAGGTCAGAACATGAGTTGCATATGGGAATGTTTTTCTTCTCTCCTGGGAGCAGCAGAAGCACAGTATCCACAACACAGCCTTTACAGTCATGTTACCAGTCCACTTGGATCTGTCGGGGACACTATGTCTTCATTAATGGACACTCATCTGCAAGAAAAACAAACAAACATGTATCTGAAGCAGTTTGTCGGAGGATCATAACCATGTCTCTGATGTTTGGGAAGGTGAAGACGTGTAACTCTGCTGAGTGTAACCTGGTGCTTCTCGGTGTGATGGGTGTTGGAAAATCAGGTCAGGAAATAAAAAAACTTTTGTTTTACTTTCAAGCTGTGGGTTGACTGAAAGTTTTTCTTGTGTAGACCAGTTCACATAGCTAGATCTTATTTGAAAAATACCTTGTGTCTTAGCTACAAGCTACTGTATTTATCCTAAGGTGAAGATGTTTGTCATTTTTATGTATAGATCATTATTTCCTTAACAATCAGCTGATTGCATTAACCATGAAATTTATATTATAGTGTTTTAAAATGTTCATCTTCATGAGCAAAATGTCTTTGTGGTTTAAATTTTTCTGTCTTGAGTCATTTGACTGATATTATTTTCATTGTTAAGATTAAAATTAATCCTATTCTCTGTACAGTTTTGAGTAAAAGTTGTGTGTCACTTTATACTGTATAATTCTCTGATCATCTGTGTGGTCTTTATTTTGAAGGAACTCTGTTCACAGATAGTTTATGAGTTTCATGCTGATGTTAAATATGACTGTTTATGTAGGTGGTGGTTTCTCAGGGTCTCAGGGTCCCCAGAGGCTCCACAGTCAGAAGAAGGACAGAGACAAAAGGCAAAGAGTTTTATGTTATTTCTTTATTCTTGTTTTTCAGCATTGGCAGTGAAATTCCTCACAAAGCGCTTCATCAGTGAATATGACCCCCATCTAGGTGAGACTTGTCATTTGAATTTTTTAGAATAATGTACTGAAAATCAGGGGTAGAAGGTAACTAACAAAAGTACTATGCTTATATATTTGTTCTTTATTTGAGTATTTACATTTGATGCTACTGTCTTTCTACTCCATTGTATATGAGTGTAATATGGTAAGTAAATGGACTGTATTTATATAGCGCTTTTATGCACTGGCCAAAGCGCTTTACAGGGAGATTATACACCATTCACACACCGATGACGACAAGGCTGCCACACAACGGCGCTAGTCAAGCCACTGGGAGCAGTTTGGGGTTCAGTGTCTTGCTCAGGGACACTTAAGCATGTGGGGAGACTGGGAGTCGAACCACCAACTTGCTGGTCAGAAGACGACTTGCCCTACCTCGTGAGCCACAGCCACCCCATATATTGTACTTTATACTGCACTAAATTTACCCGACAGCTGCAGTGACTGGTAATTTTACACATTCATATTTTACAAAAACAAATGATTAAATTATAAAAATGCAACACATTATTAAAGATTAAACCAATGGTTTTCAACCTTCTACTCTGTGACCCCTTTATAAAAAATGTCAGTATAGTGATAACTTCCATTTTGCCAAAAAATACATTTAATTTATTGCTTTCCTTCAAAGTCTTCACTACAAACAAACACTACACTACAAACTGCAACTTGACTGGTCTGTGGAGGTATGCAACTGTGACATGTTAATTTTGACTATTAGTTTTATTATGTTGTACTTTTATTTTGGAAAAGAGTACTTCGTCCACCACAATGGAAAATATTGGGATGTATTTGTGACAATATAAAATTCTCTTCTGTGTTCTTTGCTGCTATGTAGAGGATATCTACTCATCTGAAGAGACTGTGGACCAGCAGTCAGTCACCGTGAGACTGATGGACACCTGTGACCAGGTATGAACTGCACAGTCTTTTGTGCTAACTCAGGGTGTGTTTCCATGAAAAACACAGATGTGCTCCTAGCCATGTCAGAGGAAATACAAAACAAAGAAAAGTCCAATGACTGCCAGTAGTTGCCATATCCAGGCCTATGTATTATACCTTTTATTATTCATCATTATTAATTTATCATTTAGGAGGAAAAATATAGCTGTTTCCATTAAAGGGCATCCATAGAATAAACTTTATCTTCTGAAGCAAACATCCATCCATTATCTATACCTCTTATTCCTGAAAAGGGTCATGGAGCCAGTTCCAGCTGACATTGGACAAGTGGCAGGGTCCACGCTGGACAGATTGCCAGTCTATCACAGGGTGGACAACCAACACACACTCACGGGCAGTTTAGAATCGCCAGTCAACCTAAGCTGCATGTCTTTGGACTGTGGGAGGAAGCTGGAGTACCCACAGAGAACCCACGCAGACACAGAGAACACATGCGGACTCTGCATAGAAAGGCCCCGGGTCGCCCCGGGCTCAAACCTGGAACCTTCTTGCTGTGAGGCGACAGCACTAACCACTACTCCACTGTAACATAATAACCAGTAAAAAAAATAATGCTGTGCTATCAATACCCCTCCTAGACTTAACCCTTTCCACCAGTCTGAGATGATTTGGTCTCAAGCGACACGTTCGGTTTGGCAAAGGCAGGGTTTATACAGTATAATATGCAGAATACAGGGGAACAAAACAGCAGGTCCTCAGTGCAGCTGTTTACACAACAAAAGCACATTAAAAAAAAGGAATAAAACAAGTAGAACAGTAAAGTGGTGTTTGAGCAGTGCCATTGCACATGTAAAGATTTATTTTCATAAACAAAAACAATAGTCACTTTCGGTTTTTCCCGTTTTAGGGGTCACCACAGCGAATCATCACACTGACGGCTTACATGCTGACATTTGGTACATGTTTTACGCCGGATGCCCTTCCTGACATAACCCTGACTCAAACCCAGGCCGCAGCGGCGAGAGGCTTTAACCACTAGCCTACCAGGGACGGCTCATAAACAAAAACAATAATGTACATAAAATAAATACTATTAATACCTGCTACAATAACAATAGAAAACATTAAAATATCAAGTAGAATTAGCAGCAGAATGTCAGCCATGTTTTCTGTTGAAGTGTGCTGGCCTGTATTTCCTGATGGCAGTGGAGTGACCAGTCAGCTGGAGTGGTCAGAGGCGTCTTTGAGAGGTGACAAAATGCCTTGAATGGCACAGGGGGCAGCTATGATCTTTACATCAAGCTCATTCATCTCTGAATAAGAGCCGACCTCTACTGGAGAAACACAGGAACTACTTAAGGCAGTGAAGGCCTCAGTGTGACAGAAGTCTCGAATAACAAAGAGATGACAAGGTGTCAAGAAAGATAAACATATTCATACAACTTAGAAATGAAAAAACTGTCATAAAAACTCATTCTCCTGCTCATCACTGACAGTCAGAACAGGTTCATAGGCAAAATATGATTGTGTTGTGAAGAGGTATTCTGGGATTGTGTGCATCATGTTTGTGTCGGAATGAAAATATTAAGATACTGTACATCACACAATTAGTGGAAATGGTGAATTATTTGTCATTTCACACAAAAATACTGTATACTTTACTGTATATTACTGTAATAGTTAATATTTTTAAAAACTACAGCATTAGATTTGAAGCATGAATGCTATAGCTATACTGTACCTGGTCCAATTCTTCCTGCAGCACAGTGTTGTCATCTGGCACTGCTTTGCATACATGCACCTGAACATTCCTTGTGTATTTTGTGTGTGTGTGTGTGAAGGAGGGTCCAGTGAACAGTGAGCGTTATCTGTTATGGGCCAATGCCTTCCTTGTGGTCTACAGCATTGACAACACTGAGAGCTTTAAAGGCAGCCAGCTGTACCTGCAGACACTCGCCCTGCACAGCAAAACCTTCAAGCCTCAATCTCCCATCATCCTGCTGGGCAACAAGCTGGACATGGACAGATACAGGCTGGTATCTCTGTGTACATTTGTACTGTGGTTCAGCATAGAGATGTTAACATCTTTTATTACTGAGGGTGCTGGGCAGAAGAAACAACAGTTTTCTTTGCAAATAACAGCAAGACAGAACCACAATTATTTATTCCAACAAAGTAGCAAAAACAGATTTGATAAAGGAGTGTGAACAGATTTGATAATACACTATCAAACCCCTCCAGTCACCATCCTAACCTGTTCACGATGACAAATCAGCCCACTAACGGCCACGGTAGGACAAACCTGCATAGAATTCTGGAGTCTAGTACCAGTGGTCAGTGCTAACACAGGATGTGTGAGCAGTGCTGTCTCTGGGCGTTTTGATGCCTTCCACTTTTTATCACAAAAGCAATTAAAATACGTGGTAACACTTTAGTTTACAGATCCACTATTTCATAATAATTTCTTGAAGTTTCCTGTAAAGAACCATGTAGTTTGGTATTAATTACAGATACACAGAGACAAAGTTCTAAAACACATTTTTTTCTTAGTCAGTACACTGAGTTGTGTTGAGTTTATTATTGGCTTCCAGATGAATTTCCATGAAAGAAACAGCAACTTCCCTGACAAGCCTGGGAAACACAAGATCCAGTACCCAAATGTATTTTAATGGACACACCACCTTAAAATTAACCCTTAAATTCACAACTGATCTGCTGAAATTCACTCTGAATAATTTATTGTTTATCACAAAGAATATTTGTAATTAAGATGAATAAACTAGTTCTCAGTATGCAGCTATAAATATGACTATGGTCAAACTGTTGGTGTGCATCAGGACGCACCATTTGTAACCTACTTACAGGATGCTGGATCTGCAGTTGCTAAAAATTACACATGATGACACATGAAAGCAGCTCATGAGCCAAGATAAAGAAACACACTGCAAATGTTCCCATTAATCCTGTTACGCAGCAGGTAAAGTCAGTCTGACCTCACTGTAAAGTTACAGTTTGATCAGCTTTGAAAGCAGCTGTAGGTGGAGATAAAGTGGGCGACACATCCACCGGCTGTGCGCTCTGGCAGACCACAATCAGTTTCACAATCAGTATTTGGTCAAAAACCAAAGTACAGGACAGGTGAATGAAAATGTTGATCTGACTGTGGTGCTAGATAAGAAGTCAGAGATTACCAAAGTTATTACAATTCATCCCAAAGGGAATATGAATGTCTCTATGAAATGTTATCAGTGTGATCTTTTTGCTGTGTGCAGTTGTGACTGTTGCTTGTAAAGTGTGTTGAGACATGTTGGTGTGCACTTTAAATAAATTTTGACTTGACTTAAGAGGCTCTGTGTAACTGTAGGCCTACTCACAGAAGCACAGCACTGTGTTAATTTTCAGTGATATTGTAAAACCACATTTCTGCTCTCAGACAGGTGAGTCGGTGTGACGGTGAGGCCCTGGCATCTCGTTTTGGCTGTTTGTTCTTTGAGGTGTCGGCCTGTTTCGACTTTCTGTCTGTGCAGCATGTCTTCTATGAGGCAGTGAGGAGGGCAAGGTGTGGAGGGGAGCGTAGTCGCCTGGTGCCAGCTGTCTGCGTCAGTGAGGACAAGGCGCTGCTCAGTGCCCCCTTCTTCACCACTCCCTGGCACAAGGAGCTACCGGCCCCTGCCACTGCCAGGCTGGTGACTGTGAAGGCATCCAGAGCTCAGAGCAAACGGAAGGCTGCCACACTCACTCTGCTCAAAGGCTTCAAGATCTTCTGACACCCTCTGATCCCCCACCCCCCTTATGAGATAACATTGTGGACAGCCGGACAGTTTGCAGACAACTGGCAAATTAAAGGAAAACCCTGAAAAAATTAAATCAAAAGAAATACACAAGCTTCTCTGAACAATTTGCTGAGTGAAAGCGATATGAATCACATCCAGCATGTTGGGCAATGCTCTCCACCTCCATCCTGGAATACTAAGTGTGAAGTATCTGTGGACGAATGCTGTTCAGTTGAAGATGTTTGAGAAGGCTTCATCATTTACTAACACACTTTATTTGTCATCCATATTAGCACTGGGTGTCAAAATATTTTTGGGAATCTCATGATTCAGAATGGATTCTTGGATCAAAACCAAGAAGTGAAGCTGCTGATCTTGACAAAAATCACCGTCTTAATCAAGAGAAAATATCAAAAAGAGAGTGAGAGTATAGTACATCTTAAAAATGAACTGCATTCATTTGTAATCATTTTACAGTCTTATGCATGTGTAAGAATAAAGTTTTAATTACTGACTAACATCACTGGTTAAGTGTTTTTTGAGAAACAGAAGTTGGTACCAGTGAAAGTTTTGGTTATCCTCAACTCTGCAGTCCTTAAGTCTAACCTGTAACACATACACAGTGCTATGGAGGGTGGAAGTCAGAAAATGAAATGATAAAAACACCAGAGAAGTTAATGCCTGAAATGTAAACAAGAGTAAGGAGAAATGCAGTGGGAAACTGGTGGCTCTGTCAGGGACACTGGACATCAGGCACCACTAGGACGACAACCATAAAATGTGATGAGTTATTTGGATGTGGAACAGCAGCAGTAACTTTTAGTAGTCCAGTGACAGCTGTCTATACATCCATAGGTACACTGCAAAGAGAAACTGAACACACTATACAACCTGTTTGAACCCCTCCCCTCTGGACAGTGCTACAGGTCACTGTGCATCAAAACAGACAGACACAAGGACAGTTTCTTCACCTGTGGCATCATGTTGATGAATAATTAATCCATGTCTTTATGACAGGACACAAAAATCACCCCAGTGCAGTAAATTGCAAATAGAATCATTATACAGTATATATCACTCTGATACTCTTCTTCCACAATGTGTATATTTATTTACAGATTGTCTCTCTTATTCTCCTTCACTTTTTACCTACTGTTTCCCTGTTTCCTTACTAAGCACATTGAGAGCCTCTGTACTGGAGTCAAATTCCTTGTGTGGTCCAAATACTTGGCCAGTGAAGCCGATTCTGATAATTCACCATACATTTCATAGAGACAATGTAAATGTTGTAAATGTAAACAAATGTAGGCTACCGAACAGGCTCGTTTTGTAGCTCACAGCAGTGTCATATACCCAGATTACATTTCCCAAAGCAATAGTTTTAGTTTTCTCTCCAAAGCCTCTTGCTCACTTTGCTTCACAGAAAGAGCTCATCAGATTTTTTTTTACAATATGTGGGAGCTCTTTTAACCATCCATAACAGAAAACCTGACAACACAGTGACACTACACAATGACCAGTTAGCTGTGTAGGGGTATGGCAATAGGTTGGGTTGTCAAAGACCTCTGTCCTTTCTCCTGACACCTTTGATGACTTTACAGTTGCAGTAAGTCTATTGATCTGTTGGGCACAGAGCCATTCAAAAGCCAGTCAGGAAAGAGGCAATGTTAGCTTGTAGTTAATCAGGATGAATGAGCCATATGGATAATGACAAATCACAAAACTAATCTCAGCATTTTGATTAATGATTTAATGTTTTAATGCTGTAGGCAGATGGAGCCAACTATGAGAGTCATCATTCAAATTACAGTTGTCAACACGTACATAATACTATACTGTAGTAAGTATAATCAAAAACTAACACAACTCAGTGATTGATGATGATGTTCATGTAAGAAGCTGGTCCAAAACAATTTGAGAAGTTACTTTCTTCATGACTCCCTCATCTACAGTGGATCTGAACCTACTTCCTGCTCATACAGCATATTCACTCTGTGATCACTTGTTCACTGTGATTACAGCTACTGGAGACAAACAGGAAATCATTTCATATCAAATCTGTTATTAGGCCCAATACAAATAACTTCCTCAGAGTGATCTTGATGTGAAGCCGATAGTCAAATTGTCTTGCTTTGAGTTTTGAGTCTCATTATATTGTTTTGATGTGAATGATCACAGGTAGGACCCCCGGATATTGACCTTAGAAGGGAGTTGACAGTGAGCAGAAAGAACACTTCAGTAGGAGCCACAGTGTCAGAGGCAGAGGAAAGACACCTGCAGATATGCCTTTGTGGCTGGAAGAAGGTGACTTCCAATAAGGACCAAGGGAAAAAGAAGGTTCTTGGAAGCAGGTGAAGAATGTGATGGCTGGGGGACCTCTCATTAATCAGTACTTATTAAGAAATCAATCATATCAGTTGGGTGTGTAGTAAATGTGAGTGAAATATGCTGCTCTTTAAATGAGACTCTTAGTTTATATTACCCCCTCCCATTGTATTCACTACATGCTGGGAGTGCCAGATCATAGACTCTAGAGTCCAAGAGGATTTGATCTCAGAGGCAGTTATGCCTTTAATGCACATAGGCCAAAGCCTTTCCTTGCCAGAGGACTACCTCCCCTCCCTACTGGATCAGTACTGATCAGATGATTGTGTTCTTCTAGAGGTGCTTATTTGTTTTATTTTTAGCAACTTAATGCAATTTATCTGATTTATATCAGATTTATAATTGCAGATGAATTTTGTTATTATCATTATTATTATTATTACAAATGTAACATTTAGAAAAGGAATATCCTGCTGACAAAGGGTTGAATCATTACTAGACCCTTACAGTGAATGTGGACATTCGAGCTACACTTACTGTTAGCACCCTGCAGGAGGAGCTGTATGAAGTGAGATGTTAAACAGTTCTAAGATGGAAAGTGCTAACAAGTCTTCATAAATGACTCTAAAAATCAGATTCTTCCTTGTGTTTCTCTTCCTCCTCTTGTTTATCCTGTACTGCAGGATCTGAGTACAGGCAGGAGGTGTTGCCGTCTTTCCACGTGATAATGATGTCTCCTGCTCTGCCCTCGTCCACTTCTCTCTTGGTTGTGGAGGGTTCGTTTTGCTCCAGCAGCTTGTGAGCAGATGGTGGTGGTTTGCTGTTGCTGTTGTCGTTGTGTAG